TCCTCGTTGCCACTACATCGCAACGGTGCAGGGGGAAGAGATAAGTGTTTGGTACGGCCTTCACAGCCGCGACCACAACGCATACACCACCGCTTGTCCTTCAAAGACAGAGTCCCGGTGCCCATAGCGAACCCCAGTAGGGCTAAACCGAAGCTCGAACGGGCAGTACAGTCTACCCGCGTTCGCCAAAAGCAACCAAAGGCTCAGAAGCCACCTCCGCGCAAACCACCCAAAACCCTGGATGACTACTGGTTCCATCGTAGCTATGGACCAGGAGCTCGCAGTTGCAGGAAGCCATACACCTACGCGACGGGAAAAGGGTAAGCCGGTGAGTAAAAGTGGCNCCCGCCTCTCCAAGTTTGCCGTCGCTTGTTCGTGCGTGACCATCACACGAATTCTGGGTTCCTCGTAGATGCGGGATTCCAAGTTTCAGTCTTTCCTGGCGGTAGCAACAAGCCACGAGCTACGACGCTTCGGCCATACGCTGCGAATGGCACTCCCATTTCTACCTTTGGAACAAGACAGCTCACGGCCAGCCTGGGAGGGCAACAACGGTATCAATGGACGATCGTTCTTGCAAATGTTCCCACTAGAATACCGGGTATCGATCTTTTGCAGTACTATGAATTGCTTATCGATTCACGTAGACTGCAGTTGATCAACCCAGAGTCGAATATTAAAGTCACTGGTCTCAAAGCTCGAACAGACGTTTACCGAATCACGGGTTTAATGCCTGATATCCATGTGGATTTCCAGACATTGATCGCTTGATTCCCCACGTTGACTAAACCTACTGAGGACTCAACACTAGTGACTGATCGTGTTGCACACTACATAGTCACTAAGGGTCCACCATTCACGGCACAACCTCGCCGACTGGCACCGGATTAATTAGCTTTTGCTAAGAGTGAGTTCGACAGGTTACTTTCAAAAGGTATCGTACGTTCTTCTCATAGTCCATGGGCCTCTCCTCCACACATGGTTCTTAAAAAAGACAGCATCAGCTGGAGATCATGTGGCGACTATCGGTCACTTAATGCAGTTACTCGTTTCGATAGTTATCCCATCCCACATATACACAACATGACGGCATCACTTTATGGTACGACTATTTTTTCTAAGATCGATCTGGTCCGAGCTTATCACCGGACCCTAGTCGCCACTGAAGATGTCGAAAAGACTGCTGTCACGACTCCTTTAGGTCTGTCTGAGTTTCTTAATATGCCTTTTGGTTTGCGAAAAGCTGCCAGACTTTCCAGAGATTTATCAACAGTATAGCTCGAGATTTAGATTTTGTTCATATTTTCATTGACGATTTGCTTATTGCCTCTTCCAATGTAGATGAACATTATCACCATTTGACTTTGCTATTTCTACGCTTATCTGATAATATCATTGTGGTCAGCCTTGATAAATGTGAGCTTGGCAAAAAGGAAATGATTTTCCTTGGCCACAAGGCTACACATGAGGATATTTTACCATGCGAGGATAAATTACGTGCTATCCGAGAGTACACGTTACAATACTCAGTCAAAGGCCGGAAAGCGATTTTGGGTTTACCGAAATTCTATAGAAGGCTCTGTATTGATCGATTTATGAAAATCCTTCCTGTAGAGCTCAGTCAATCTATCTCGGTTCCACATTGCGTGAATTCCACGTTTCATTCATCTAACACCATTCGTATGACAAATACAAAAACATTTGACATTCCCCTCCCGTTGTATATTTACACATTGATCCTACCGTTTGACTTTGTTTGTTTATCTGCTTCATTCTTACCCTACTTGTTTTAATCCCGACCTGACCGCTGATATTTGGCTCGTTCGTGTGCAGCGTAATGGTGAGCGTGCTGTTCTTATCCAGACTCATTTTCTTCCGTTCAGATTTTTTGAATTACGCCCACGGTAATCCTTGGCTCTTGTTTTGAAGTTGTTTCGAGATCACTTTGAGATTTGTACATATTTATTTGCTCATTTGATTGTCTATTAATGCAGTACCGTAGAAACGTGCTAGATCGTTAATCTTGTTGACGTTTTGGGATCCGATTTCGGCTACGCGTTACTCGTTGATCTATTCGAAAGGCACAGCAGCACTTTGATCACGTTCACATCGATATTATGGGCCCATTACCACCATCACACGGGTATACTCATTTACTCGCGTGTATTGACAGGTTCACTAGATGCCTGGAGTCATTCTCATCTCTACTGTCACGATCGAAGCAGTGGCTCGACATTTCGTATAACGATGGGTAGCACTCTGCGGTTGTGCCTCTACTGTCACGACTGACAGAGGAGCACAATTCGAATCCGAATTATTCTCTTCGCTAACACGATTGCTGGGTGCGGAACGAATTCGCACAACTGCTTACCATCCAGCATCTAACGGTCTAGTTGAACGTTTTCACCGTCAAATTTAGGGTGCCCTTCGGGCTGAAGAGAACCTTAATTGGTACGAGACGTTACCTCTTGTTCTGTTAGGCATCAGAACATGCGTAAAGGCAGAT